CTCTGCATCTTCCCTTTGCTGAGTGTGGGGATACCCGCACAGAACTCAGGTGGGGACACCCCTTTGGGAACTGAGGGAGACTGGGCTTCCGGACAACTCTACTCCAGGCTGTGAGCAGAGCCCGGCCTTGACTTGGCACAGCATCTCCTCTGTGGCCACTCCCACCCTTCCTGGGATCCTGGGCTGGTGTCACAGCCTGGCCCAGGGTCAGGAGACCTGGGTCATGTCCCCACTGTACTGGCAATTTGTAATGTGACCTTGGCAAGTCCTAGCTTCTCTCCTGCTATTGCTTCATCTATAAAACGAGTGGGTTAGAATCAGTGGCTTCTAGTCAAGTTACACCCTTAGTTCTAACTTGCAACTTCCATTTCCCTCATCTTTGTATTTAACCTTCCACCTCACTCAAAAAAAATCTTTGTTTTTCTTTTAAATTTAAAGTCATCAATACTCATTGAAAAAAATTGAAATGGTACAGAATAAAGCAAAACATGAAATTTAACCTCTCCACTCCCATTCCCCAGAGCTAACCATGGTTAATGATTTAGTTACAAGTTTTAATTACCTGTCCATATATTAGCTAGTTTGGGGATTAACAGCTAATTCTTAATCCCAGACTAACTCCTCAACATATTTCTGAATGACCCCTTTACTTTCTGCTCCAGTTGTATAGATTCCCTAAAATATCAGATAAAAATAGAATTAGGTTCAGGGCGCATGAGGCCATATTAAATTATTGACTATTAAAAACAAAATAGAATTAGGAAAGAAAATCAGCCAGAAAGGTTTTTTGTTTCTGTTTTGTGTTTTTAATTATCTGCTGTTTTGGATGTCTGGTGTTTTGGAATGGGCATGGGTGACTGGCCCTTGCCACAGTCCTTCGTCCCATCTTTCCTAAGCCCCCACCTATTCCTTTGAGGTGGTCTGGTGGAGCTAGTACTAACCAGGGGGGTTTCAGGGGCACGGGCATTGGTAACAAGATCCTGTGTCCCCAGGAGCCAGGTAGCTTCCATGGCAGCCTCCAGCATGAGACTGCAAAGCCTGGGGAAGACCTCAGAGCAGCACAGAACCCAGAGGCAGGGGCATTCCTGCAAGAAGTACCCCCGGAAGCAGGTAAGACAATCAGCCCTCCCGGGAACAGAGGAAATTCTATTCCTCTTGAATTGCTCCGCCAAATTCTTCTGGCTGCATCTTGTTCCTCCCATTAATCTTTGGATCTTATGGAATCTTACAGAAATCAGATGGGGTGCCCTCTCTGGCAAACCTGGAGGCCACAAAATAATTAACAGTGTGATAGGGGCCACATAGAGCAAGTAGAGTGTGGCTCACTGGTCACCCCCTGTTTCCAGGCCATGTACTGTTAGCCACAAGGAGGAGGTGGAGCCCTGACCGGTTTGGCTCAGTGGATAGAGCGTCGGCCTGCGGACTGAAGGGTCCCAGGTTCGATTCCAGTCAAGGGCATGTACCTTGGTTTCGGGCACATCCCCAGTGGGGGGTGTGCAGCAGGCAGCTGATCGTTGTTTCTCTCTCATCGATGTTTCTAACTCTCTATCCCTCTCCCTTCCTCTCTGTAAAAACTGAATAAAATATATTTAAAAAAAAAAAAAAAAAAGGAGGAGGTGGACTGACACCATCCTTGTGCCGCCCTTGAGTCTTCTGTGGGCTGATGGCCAGACCACAGAGGCAGGTTTCCCATCCTGACCAGATTCACAGTAGACCAATGGATAAGCCGCAAAGCCCACTTAGTTATAGCCTATGAAGAAGTATTTCTTATGCTAGAAACTTCTCTGGAAACTTGCACTCTATCCTTGTAAGTAAGCTTGATGACAGACCAAACCATCATCAGAAGGTTTCTGGGGTCATGGAATAAGAGTGAAGACGTTGCCTGTAGGATATTGCAGCTGGTATCACATCTCCCCTGTAAGGGCAGACCTGCCAAGCAGGCAGCTGCTAGTGGTGGCTGGACAAGCTCGGAGACACAAATACTAATTCTCACTCTGCTTCCCCGTTTCCTGACTATTCATTTCATTTAACATAGTGTTTCTTCAAATAGTCATAATGTAGCTAGTGAGGGGCAACCTTTTGGTTATAATCAAATTCCAGTCCTGCTTCTCTGAGAACAGTGCTGGTCACCTTAATTAAAGCGTAAGTGCCCCAAACTGACTGTCCTTCTAGCAGCAGTGTTCATTGTGTGCTCGGTGCCAGCCTGGGAGCTGGGCTCTGCAGGTGTAGCTTCCAGTCTGACTTCCTCCTACGGCTGCCTGACCCCGTCCATGAAGCAGGAGTTTCTATTGAAACTGTGACTGTGGCATCAGGTGGAGCCTGAGTATGCTCACCCCGAGCAAGCAGTTTGACCTCTTTAAACCCTGTCCTTTCAGGTAAAGGGGATTATAACAGGAACTACCATGTGATGCCCTAGGAAGGGGTACTGTGCGGTGTGAATGCAGTGATGAGTGTAACGTATGTGACTGGTACAGAGCAAGCACTAAGTGTTCGCTGCTATGACTAACCATCATAGGAGCAACAGCGATTATTGAGGTCAGCTCAGTTTCCAAATTCTCATTCACAATCACCCCACCTGAGGACTAGTCAAGAACAGTTACTTTTTAAAAAAAATATACTTTTATTGATTTCAGAGAGGAAGGGAGAGGGAGAGAGATAGAAACATCAATGATGACAGAGAATCATTGATCGGCTGCCTCCTGCATGCCCCCTACTGGGGATTGAGCCCACAACCCAGGCATGTGCCCTTAACCGGAATCGAACCTGGGACCCTTCAGTCCGCAGGCCGATGCTCCATCCACTGAGCCACACCAGCCAGGGCAGGAACAGTTACTTTTATTCCCTACCTCCACAGAGGCCCTTTGGGGGACAGGATAATATCTCCCATGCTTCAGAGGAGAAGCCAGATGAATGGACTGTGATTCTGAACACATCTGATGGCTTTCCCAGCCTTGTTCCTCCCTCTGTCCAGGAAGAGGGTTGCACCAGGAGACCTCAGAAGCCTTTCCGTTCAGACATTGTGCCTCTGGATGGAAATAGAGGAACCAGCCCTGGCTGGGTAACTCAGTTGGTTAGAGAGTCATCCTGATATGCCAAAGTTACGGGTTCAGTCCCCAGTCAGCATATACAAGAATCAACCAATTAATGCGTAAATAAGTGAATCCACAAATCGATGTTTCTCTCTCCCTCTCTAAAATCAATCAATAAATTTAAAATAAAATTTAAAAAGGAACCACTGAGGCCCAAGGGGAGCCTTTTTCTCAGCAGGATGGGCTCCTGCCTCTTGTCATTTGTGAGTATGTGGGGAACAGAGGGACGATGGAGGTCAGGTCAGCCCTAGGCCTATTGGCCCAGACACCACTGCCCAGGGAGAGCCACCTCCTAACTGTGCTGCCAGGTCCGGGCCCTCCTAAATGGCAAGAACCTTGGACTTGTCAATCTTCCCATCCTCTGCATCCCTCCTGCAGATGACCTGGACGGACTCCTGAGTGAGCTCCCTGAGGACTTCTTCTGTGGAACCGGCACGTGGGACTGCCCGAAGGCAGGGCACCCGCCATGAGCAGACAGCCTCTGAGCCTCAGGCAAGGCTCTGGTGTCTGATCATGCCCAAGGGGAGGAAGACCAGCATGATCGGAGATTGGCAAAGCTCGGGACTTCTGTGGTTGCTCCCACCTGGATGCCTTCCCCGAGAACACCCTTGTCCCTTGGAATCTGCACTGTCGTCACTTTGGGTCTTCGTGGGCATACCAGAACTCGGCCCAAGACTGGCTCTCCTGCCCTGCTGTCTGCCAAGCCCTGGGCGCATCGTTGTGCTCCTGCCAACAGGGAAGGTGTGTCGCCCTCCCACCTCATCTTGACTTTGCAGGACGTTGGATCTGGTTGGTGCCTTTACTCCTTAGCCCTGTACAGCTGAGGAGCTGGGAGGAGCCACACCACAGCCGTGGCGCTCTGTCCCTGTGGACAGGGGAGGAGCACACTCAGACTTCCCTCTGCTTTGTCTCTGGAGGCCTGTAGCTGCCCAGCTTACCTGTGTCCGAGGTTCACAGGTGCGGGGCAAGGGGCGTGGCTGTGGTATCTTGTTCTGAAATAAAGCAGCTGCCTGTTTCACCTGCCTCTCTCCTTTCCTTCCTCACTGCTCCTTGCCCTGTTCACTCTGCCAGTGGTGCTTTGACCAAGCAGAGCTAGGCTACTCGTTTTCTCTCTCTCTCTTTTTTTAATAAACTTTCTTTTGGACAGTTTTAGATTTATAGAAACATTGCAAAGATATTACAGGGAGTTCCCATAATACCCCACACCCAGTTTCTCGTCTTACTATCATGAGATATTAGTATGGTAGCTTTGTCCCCAAGAACCAGTGCTGATACATTATTATTAACTGAAGTCCATACGTTATTCACATTTACTCCATTTTCTCCTGATGTCCTGTCTCTGTTCCGGGTTCCCACATTACGTTTAGTCATCATGTCTCTTTAGGCCCAGGGTGGGGAACGTCTGGCCCTGAGGCCCTGGAAATCATTTGGTCTGGCCCTGCCAAGGCATCGGGGTGAGTTAATTAAATGTTTGACCAAACATAGCAGGCTAATTTTTAAGTTGATAATTCTGTATGGCCCGGGAATGATGTTATAAATATCCAAATGGCCCTTGGCAGAAGAAAGGTTCCCTACCCCTGCTCTAGGCTCTTCTTGGCTGTGGCTGTCTTAGACTTTCCTTGTTTTATGGCCTTGACAGCTTTGAGGAGAGCGGCTCAGGCATGTTATAGGGTGTAAAGCTACCCTGCTTCCTTCTCCCTCTCCGTGCTGTCCTCTTTGGAAGGAAGTCACGGTGTGCAGTCCACACACAAGGCATGAGGACTCATACTTTACCTCCTTAAGGGAAGGGTATTCATATACATTATTTGGAATTCTTCTGCAGGGGTGATTGGCCTATTCTCCCTCTTTTTCTTTTAAACTTGGAAAACATTTATTTTCCCACATCAGTAATCATTGATATGAGCAGCTAAATTTTATATCTCCTCAGGAAAACATAGCACTATTGAGTGTCTGTTACATCCTGTGGAGAACTTAAATCTTAGGTCACAGCGTTAAGAGTTCCTCGTTTGGGTCCCATAAGCTCTTTTTGAAATGACCTATCCCTCATTTTTTTTTTTTTTTTTTTTTTTTTTAAAAGAAATTTATTTTATTGATTTTTTACAGAGAGGAAGGGAGAGGGATAGAGAATTAGAAACACCCATCAGCTGCCTCCTGCACACTCCCCACTGGGGATGTGCCCGCAACCAAGGTACATGCCCTTGACCGGAATCGAACCTGGGACCCTTGAGTCCACAGGCCGATGCTGTATCCACTGAGCCAAACCGGTTAGGGCTATCCCTCATTTTTTATTCATTCATTTATATCAGTATGGACTCCTGGGTATTTATTCTATGCTTTGGGTTATAACCTAATACTACTTTATTTTGTCAAGCAACTCTTGGTCACTGTAGCTTCTCTATACCACCTTTTAGACCAGAGTTGCACAAGGGACATGGGTGGAAAAGGTCTAATGGTACCAAGTTGCCAACTTTGTTTTCTTTTCCTGGAAAAAGGGGAAGAAAGGATGATTCTCTCAACTCATGGAAGAGGAGGTGTGGGTTAAAGACCCCACTTTGGCCCAGCCAGTGTGGCTCAGTAGTTGACCATCATGCCCAGGTTGTGGGCTCGATCCCCAGTAGGGGGTGTGCAGGAGGTAGCTAATCAACGATTCTCTCTTATCATTGATGTTTCTATCGCCCTCTCTGAAATCAATAAAAATATATATTTTTAAAGAATACCTCAGTTTGACCACCAGCCTCCCCTGTTTCCACCTGTCTCCACTAAGCAGCTGAGCCAGGGACCTCTCATATGCTCGGTGCTGTTCTGGGGGGAGGTGTTAATCTCCCTTTCCCCTAAGGGGCTGATCCCATGGATCTACCCTCAAGCCTGAAGTGAACAAGTGCTTTAAGAACTCCGTGCTCAGCTAGCTGCTGGTTGCAGTGGGGCCCTGTTCTGGAAGGCTTTTGTGTTTTAAGCCCAGGAGCAAGAAAGGACTAATCCGCCAGCACCCTTGCCCCTTCGCACTCCCATTTGGTCCTCCTACCTGCACATCTTTCTCTTCTACCCACTGCTAACTCCCGAGCTCTGCCTTTGTAGCTTAGATCTGTGGCCTTCATGCACCTAAACTACCCCCTACCCCTGGCTGCAGTGCCCTTCCCCATTCAGCCCCCTACCGCTCACAGTCCTGGCTGATGTCCTGGTTTCTCTGGATGCGCTTCATCTCCCCACAGGCTCTGAGCTCCAAGAAGGCAGGCTGGGTGTCCCATCACCTGGCACTGCTCCTGCCAGTAGAACTGGGCTCCCTGTGAGCTCATGTGTGGGTTGAAGTATAGGTCTCAGGAAGTTAACCTTAAGGACAATTTTTCGGCCCTTAGGAAGTTAAGGCGAAAGACAGGAGACAGACACATGGTGTCTCTGGGGACTGAGCTGTAGCCAGAGCACCTCCGGGCCTGTGTGACAAGAAGGTTACAGAGAGGCTGGGAAGGTCAGCACAATCGTGGGCCCACAGGCCATGACTGTTGTGCACCTCACAAGGGAGGGGACGCCCGCCCTACCTTGGCCCCTCTTGGCCCCACCTGGCCTTGCCAACTCCCAACCCTGGGAACCCAGCTGTGGGTGCTCAGTCCAGGCCGTTGGTGGGGCAATTAAAACACTGAATGGGTTCCAACAGGGTTAATCACTGCTGTGTTTATAGAGGCGCCTTTCTCTGAGGATCACTAAGCCTTCGGGTGCATGATCTCATCCCTCCTCTGGGATCCCTCACTCTGGAATACCACCAAGAAGCTGGGGCCAGAGTGGGTGAACAGCAGGGTGAAGGCAGTGCCGGAAACGGCCCGGCTGCTGCCACCCACTTGGGCAGGCTGATGAGTGTTTGCTCTGGCAGAGAACAGGGGCCCTCAGTCAATGCACTACACATAAGGGGCCAGCCTGCTATGTGCCAAGTGCCCCTAAACACCATGTCAAGACCTACTGTGTGCCAGGCCCTGCTGGGACCAGAAACCTAACTGAATCACTGAATCAATTCCGAGCCTCCTCTGGAGCCCACATCCAGCACGGCAGACGGGCGTCTACAGTGCACTGGGACAGGTGCTTTACAAAGTGCATGGGTTGGGAGTGGCTGGAACCGGAGGAGTGGGGGACCTGGCGCTGCTGCAGCGATGTCCCCCAGAGCAGGTGACCTTTGAGGTGGACTTTAAGGAAAGAGCCAGAAGAGAATTCCAGGAAGCGGGAATGTCAGGGAAGGGTGAGGAGCAGGATGCCATGTGGAGTGAGGCCAAACGAAGGAACAGGGGCTTAGTTGGAGAGGGGAGGTGTTGGAAGTCAGCAGAAGTTTTCAAGCTAGGAATTAACCGTTTTAGTTAGTTCCTTCCATCCAGGCAGTGAAGCAGAGGGGTGGTGGCCAGAGGAAGACACACCTGGTAGGAGGCTGGGCTGGCCCAGGTTGAAGACATCGAGATGGTGACTGACAATGTGGGGACGGGAGCTGGAACTCCCTTGTGTGAGGGGACCAGGGAGAGGACGAAGTCAGAGATGACTGAGCAAGGGCTGCTGCCGAACCAGGGAGGGGAGGCAGTGCAGGGGCAGAGGAGCCGGGAGGAGCCTACAGGGCTGAGGAGGCAGCCAGGGCAGGTTGGGGCCAGGCCAGCCCGCCTGCAGCTGCGCTTCTGAGGAGCCCTCCTAATGCAGGGACTGGCATCCTTCCTGCCTCCGCTTGCCTGGCTTTGCCAGTGCATCAGCGAATGTTATTTCACGGCCTCAGTCCGCCCCCTAGAGGCTCCGGGAAGCAGAGCCCTTTCTCCTGAGAGTGAATAGGCTCCTGGCTTAAAGGTCTCATTGTTCTGGAGCCCCCAGAGTTGCAAGGTCAAGCCCTTGGCCCCTAGGCAGGCATGTGAGCCCCTTCAGGCGCTGCGGTGGGGTGGGGTGGGGTGGGGGGACTCACTGAAGGTAGTTTCTATAGACCATGTTGTCCCTGCTACGAGGGTGGGGAGAGGCTCACAACTGTCTTCGCCCTCACCTCCGACCCGGCCAACCCAAGGTGCTCACTCCTAGGAGATGGGAGGATGTGGACCCCGGGGGGCAGGGATGGCCTCGTTTGAGGGCCTGCTGCCCAATGGGAGGGTATCAGCAGGGGCAGGGACAGGGGCTGGCCCTACCCCTGGGCGGGTGAGGGGTTGGCCCAACACCTCTGCACCAGGATCAGGACTCTGGGCAAACCGTGTTTACCAGAGATCCGAGGGCCTATTTATAGTCTCAGCTGCTGCTCTCTCTGGGCCACGGGGGAGGGGCAGGGTGGCTCCTCACAGCAAGGGTGGTAGTCACTGGGCTCTGCCCACCTGCCGCTAACCAGGCCCCGGGCCCCTTCCCATGGCAGAAGGGACCTTCCCCTTTACCTCCGCCACGCTGCGCTCCCTCCGCCTGCAGCGGGAGTGGCTGGAGTGGGAGGACAGGCGCAGGGCAGCAGCCCAGCTCTGCCGGAGCCAAAGGTGCCCCCCAAGTTCTCTGGCCCGACTCACTAGGCCTCGCCGCTCCTGCCGAGACCCAGCGGTCCAGAATGCCCTGTTCTCCGGCAACCTGCAGCAGGTCCAAGCCCTGTTCCGAGACGAAGATGCCGCCAACATGATTGTGGAGACTGAGAGCAACCAGCTGGCCTGGTCGCCTGAACAGGGTAGGGAGCAGCAGGTGTGGGCAGAAGAGGAGGAAGAGGGAAGAGGTGGGGGTGGGGAGAGGGGGGAGCGTCTCAGCCCCAACCCCTCCCTCCAGACCATGAACTATGCTATCCTTTCCCACTGCCCGTTCCAGTTCCCTGCTAAACAGTGATGAGGCATGGTTAGTGGTTTGTATGTTTATCAAAATTAGTTATATTAACATATCAATTACATAAGAATACAATTATATTCTTATGCAATTTTTATGAATATATATTCACACACGAATATTTTTCCTCCACAGAATGAAATTATAATCCACATGCTATTTTTAACCTGATGTTTTCATATAACATGTCAATAACCATAAGTCAACATAATATGTTACATAGGGGCATAAATTCTCCTGTATGGAGATACCATGATTTATATAACTAGCCCCCGAATAGATTGGAGAGATTGGGTTCCTTTTTTAAAAATATGTTTTTAATGATTTTTAAAAATATGTTTTATTGACTTCAGAGAGGAAGAGAGAGGGAGAGAGAGAAAGAAACATCAATGATGAGAGAGAATCACTGATTGGCTGCCTCCTGCATGTCCCCTACTGGGGACTGAGCCCACAACCAGGATCGAACAGTGGCCTCCGGTTCATAGGTCAATGCTTAACCACTGGGCCACACCAGCCGGCGGGGCTCCTTTTTGTAAAGACTATTCTAAATAGCAATATGATGAACATCTTTGTGTACTTGCCAGCTGATTTTCAAACTAGATCAGGATCTATTCTGACCAGGGGGTTTGTCCCCTGTAAACCAAATACCTCAATTGAAATTGTCCTGTTTGAGTGACAAGAGATTGCCTCCATCCTGGCCAGGTAGCTCAGTTGGTTAGAGCCTCAGCCCCATATGCCAATATTTTGGGTTCAATCCCTGGTCAGGGCACATACAAGAATAAACCAATGAATGCATAAATAAATGGAACAACAAATTGATGTTTCTCTCAAGAAAGAAGGAAAGAAAGGAAGGAAGGAAGGAAGGAAGGAAGGAAGGAAGGAAGGAAGGAAGGAAGGAAGGAAGTTGAAATAAAAAAAAAAAGAGATTGCCTCCAACCCCACCCATGGATTTGGGGTTCAAAATCCTTGGTGAGCATATGTTCTCACAGTCACCACAGGCTCCAAATTCCTGTTTGGCTTTAACTAATAGAGATGTGACCCTGCCCAGGGCATCCCTGTCTCATCCTGTAGCATGTCCATCATCCCTCAAATGGCACTTGGCCTTATTTAAATTCTAATAATAAATAAGGCATGCTTTATCCAAGCGTTGGGAAACCCAGGACTTACTTCACCATAATCCATAATAACTTACTGATGGGTATTAGGCATCTATGTCCTTTAGACAAGTCCTTGGCCATTTCTACAATTTGGATCCAACACCAGTCCCATGAACAAAGTCTCTCCACACTCTTCCTTTCCCCATCCCCACCTTTCACTCTCCCCCCGCTCCCCCTTTGCTTCTACCCTCACTTTCATCCCCACCGCCCCCACCCCAGAAGTGTCCCAGAACTCCAAACTCGTGGCTCCTTCAGCTCTGCTCACTGGCCACCCCCAGGCTCAGCTCCAGGACCTCCTGTTCATAACTCCCCCCATCCCCAACGCCAGAGCCCCAAGTGAACCAAAAGAGGCAAGAACTCCATCAGCAGCTCAAAGACCCAGATCTTCCCTTCACAGAACTCACCCTCCTTAGTGGCCCTTATGGTTTTAAAGAGCAATTAATTTTTTTCTATGACACACATACTCTGCTTTGTTACAGACTGACAAATTGTTCTAAAAGGCTGTTCTGATTTACTCCCAAATCAGGGCTTGAGTGAGCCCCTCTCCACAGTTACAACCTGGCACAGAGCTTGTGCTCAGCCAGGGGTACAGCAGGAAAACTAGCATCAGCTGTTCACCACCGCCTGCCCTGCTTCCGGGTCTCACCGCCCCCCAATACTGTCTGCTCTCCACAGGGTTCTGGGTACTGACCCCCAAGACCAAGCAGACAGTGCCCCTCACTATTGCTGCGGCCCGAGGCTATACCGACTGTGCCCGCCACCTCATCCGGCAGGGAGCTGAGCTGGATGCCCGGGTTGGGGGCCCGGCTGCCTTGCACGAGGCATGTGCCCAAGCCCACTCGGACTGTGTGCGGCTGCTGCTGACCTTCGGTGCCAAAGCCAATGTGTTGTCTGAGGAAGGCACAACCCCCTTGCACCTCTGTACAGCGCCTGAGTCCTTACAGTAGGTGCTCAGGGTTTGGGACGGTTTGGGGAGGGTGTGTGTGTGTGTGTGAAGCTCACGGCCTGGAAAAAGGGGAAGCACCTCATATACGTATGTCCTCACAACCACCTGGGAGACAGGTCTCATTCTACAGATGAGAAAACAGAGCCTCCAAAAGGTTTAGCGACTTGTCCAAGATCACATCAGCTAAGCCCTGAAGGCAAACGCCCTGTTGCTTTTTGGGACAACCCTGTTCCAACTGCAGTCTCTTATTCCTTGTGAACCCACTGTAGCCAAATTCCGAGCTGTTTTGAGGTAGACATCAAGAAAGATCTACCCTGGCCAGTTTTGCTCAGTGGACAGGGTATCGGCCTGTGGACTGAAGGGTCCCAGGTTCAATTCCGGTCAAGCGCACATGCCCGGGTTGTGGGCTCGATCTCCAGTTGGGGGCATGCAGGAGGCAGCTGATCAATGATTCTCTCTCATCATTGATGTTTCTATCTCTCTCTCTCCCTCTCCCTTCCTGTCTGAAATTAATTAAAAAAAAAAAAGACTCAAGGGCTCCTAGGAGACACTCCATGGCCCACATGCTGGGAACCTCTCTCTTGCTTAGCTCTAGATCAGTGATGGATCCAGAGCGATCTAAATTTTCCAGCTCTTTCTTGAGTTCTTATGGGCACGTGGTACACTTTCCAGCAGACTTTATCCTTTAAAAAGAAGTGAAAATAGTTTCACTTACTGAAATCCTACTGAGTGAGCTTTTCAGTGTTATTTAAATTTAGTATTTGGAAACAAAATTTAGCCCATGATTGAATTTACCGAGGAAATAAATTCAGTAGTTATGGGTGACTGGCTGCTACTCAACTCTTAGCCACTGAGCAAAGTGCCTACTGAGCATGCGCACTGACGGAGAGCTGAAATCTGGGGGAAGGACACTTGGTCATCAGGGTTTCATTGGAGTTGATGGACCTGCTCCTGAGTTCCAGTGGCTTCCATTCAGGCTTTTTAATTCCAAATTACTCTTAGTGTAGTTTCATCATTAATTTTGTTTGTTGTGTATTTGGTTTACCCCACGGTGGTTAATAATGAATATTTGCCTATACGGTGTTCTGGCCTGTAATTTTTTCCAGGAACTAGAAGACTGAAAAATGTGCGCTTCCTAAAATCTTCTTTTTGTTGTTTGGTTCTGTTTGTTTGTTTTTAAATATATTTTCATTGATTTCAGAGAGGAAGGGAGAGGGAGAGAGAGATAGAAACATCAATGATGAGAGAGAATCATTGATCAGCTGCCTTTGCACACCCTACACTGGGGATCAAGCCCACAACCTAGGCATGTGCCCTGACCGGGAATCAAACCATGACTACCTGGTTTATAGGTTGACACTTAACCATTGAGCCACACAGGCTGGACTAGCAGTGGTTCTCAACCTTCCTAATGCCGCGACCCTTTAATACAGTTCCTCATGTTGTGGTGACCCCCAACCATAAAATTATTTTCGTTGCTACTTCATAACTGTAATTTTGCTACTGTTATGAATCATAATGTAAATATCTGATATGCAGGATGTATTTTCAGGGGTCGCGATCCACAGGTTGAGAGCCACTGCTTAGAGGAAAGTGGGGGGTCCCCAAGTGCCTTCTTTTGTTGGAGTGGGTGTGGCTGGTCTGGAAGCGTGGTCTTCAGGTTGGGAGGCAGGAAGAAAATATTAGGATTTCTACTTTTTCTTTTGGACTCACACTCATTAATTTTCTGTGTTTCGTAGTGTACACAGTTGTGGGTTTTCCATTTTGTGTATGTGTGCTATACACTCACAAATGACTCAGAACCAGGCCTTGAGCTCCCAGTGGGACTGGGGAGCCAGGTTAGACTTGGGAGGGACTGTCTGAGGCAGTGAGTACCAGCTCCCAGGTAGCCACTAGCGTGCTGTGTCCTTGGCTGCACTGAGTTCTTTCTGGGCTGGTTTTTCACGTGAAAACCGAAGATGCGCCTGGTGACCTCCATGGGCCTTCCAGCTCTTCCGTCTGTCGGGGGCCTCCTGTGAGTCTGACGGTGGACACCAGGTTCGCCTTCAGGTGCAGGGGGTGGGAAGAAAGGGGTTAGGGGATGACAGAGGGGTTCTCAGGCCAGGCCTTGGCCCCTCAGGATTTGCCTTGGTGCCTTGTGCCCTGCCCCCAGGTGCGCCAAGCTGCTGCTGGAGGCAGGAGCTACTGTCAACGTGGCTGCGAGGGACAGCGAGATGACACCCCTGCACGTGGCGGCGGCCCGCGGCCTGGAGGAGCACGTGGCTCTCTATTTGGCGCATGGAGCCAACGTGGGGCTGCGCACCAGCCAGGGGGAGACAGCGCTGAACGCTGCTTGCGCGGGGGCCGAGGGCCCCGGCAATGGCCGGAGCCACCAGGCTGTGGCGCGCCAGCTCCTGGAAGCTGGGGCTGATGCCCAGGCGGCCGGGCGCAAGCGCCACACACCCCTGCACAACGCCTGTGCCAACGGCTGCGGGGCCCTGGCCGAGCTCCTGCTGCGCCACGGGGCCTGCGCTGGAGTCTCCAACTCAGCGGGCCACACGCCCATGGACTGCGTGCTGCAGGCGGTCCAGGACACCCCCAACTGGGAGCCCGAGGTCCTCTTCGGGGCACTGCTGGACTACGGGGCCCAGCCAGTGCACCCTGAGGTGCGTAGGGAGAGCCTGTGAAGGGAGGGTCCAGTTGGGTGGGGGGATTGTGCCTGTGGAATTGCCCCACGCAGCGGAAGAGAGGGGGCCAAGAGACTGCGAGCCCACCTTTTGTGGCCAGAGGCCTGTCCCCATCTTGGAAAAGATCAGTGGGGGCTATGGGGTTAGTTATGCAAAGGAGAAAAGAGGTCCCAAGGAAGCTAGCCAGGAGGTTGTGGAGCAACCTTGAAGGCAAGGTGAACTGCGCATGGGAAAGTACGAGGAGAGACTCCCACCATAGTCTCTGGATTTGGATCTGCCCCTGGTTGGGAGAGGCAGGGTGCCCCTGAGACCCTCTTTTGATTCCTAGATGCTGAAACACTGTGCCAACCTCCCTCGGGCACTAGAAGTCCTACTTAATGCCTACCCTTGTGTTCCATCCTGTGATACCTGGGTGGAGGCAGTACTCCCAGAGCTGTGGCAGGTATGTCCACCCCAGGGGCACAGATCCATCCTGGACTCAGGGTGTGGGGGGAGATGGAAAGAAAGGTTGGGCCCTAGGCCTAGTCCTCCAGAATGGGCTTCCCGGAGGGAGGGTCAGGAGGGCCCCTGGGCTGGAGGACAGGCAGAGTGAAACCCCTGAATTCTAGGTTCCCTCTATCCCCTAGCAGCTCAGAGCAACCTCTCATTCCACACCCCTCTCCAGCCTCTCTCTTACCTGCATCAGCACAGACATTTCTTAGGCATCTCTGACTCAGTGTGCACCGTGCCAGCATCTTTGGGGTGGGGATGGGTGCAGACAGGGCGGAGACAGGACTCTGCAGTGTGGTCCCAACTCCCATGATCCCTGCAGGGCCTCTCTGGCTCTGAATCTGAGTCCTTCAGGATGCATCAAATTTTACATGTTGCAAAATCCTAGAGCCCTACCACTACGTAGCCCCCAGTTGGAAGGGCAGAATTAAGGGTATTGGGCTATCTGACCCTGTTCCACTCCTGGCCTAGGAGCATGAAGCCTTCTACAGCTCGGCCCTGGCCATGGTGAACCAGCCGAGGCGGCTGCAGCACCTGGCCCGGCTGGCTGTGCGTGCTCAGTTGGGCAACCGCTGCCGACAGGCTGCCGACCGCCTCCCGCTGCCCCAGCTCCTCAGGGACTACCTGCTGCTGCGTGTGGAGGGGCGCATCCAGTGAGCACCAGGCCAGGCTGCCCCCACAGCTTGTCCTTTCTCCGTCCATCTTACTCCCCCCGCCCCAACCCTGGACGACGAGACCCTGGGCCTCTGTTTATACTCCACCTCCCTCCACTGACTCCTGACCAGCCTTACCTGAGCTTCAGCTCCTCTCTTTGAGGGAAAGGTCTGCAGACTCAGACCTCAGCCATCTCATCCTCTTTGCCTAAGTGGATGATGCCTCAAGCCCAGAGGTGGTGACTGTTGTTGTAACCCCTCATCTTCTGCCACCAATGTATCTAAAATCAGTTTCCTATAAAGAGTGACAGACTCTGCCTCTAGTTGTACTGCCTCTGCCCAAATTGTCATTGTCATTTGAAGGGAAAACCTCACTGGTCTTGAAACCCATGCTCTTGAAATCCTTTGTTCCCAGGTGTTCCCCCTCCTTGACATACCCTTCCCACATTTTTTCTTCTTCCCCTGATTGAAGCTGATATCCTCAAGACAACTCAATAGCACTGTTTGATCAACCTAGCAGGTAGCCTTCCTTGGTATCATATCTATTTTAAAATATATATATTTTTTTATTGATTTCAGAAAGGAAGAAAGAGGGAAAGAGAGAAAAAATATCAATGATAAGAGAGAATCATTGATCGGCTGCCTCCTGCAGACCCCACAATGGGGATCAAGCCCGTGACCCAGGCATGTGTCCTGACCGGGAATCAAACCATGACCTCCTGGTTCATAGACTGATGCTCAACTACTGAGCCAAACTGGCCGGTGGTATCATACCTATTTAAGAGCCTGTGTCTGCCTCAACTAGGCTTGAACAGGTATTTCAGTAAATGGTTGTTGGAGGAATAGATAGATGATGCCTGGGACCCATTTATGGTTGCATTGTGCTCCCCTCCCCACACCCCCCAGTGATGCATGGTGTCTTAAACAGTGGTCACCACACTTGTGACCTCTGAGGGTCTGTGACCAGAGGACCAGCCACCAGCTGTCCCCCCCTCTCTCTCACTTCCTCCTCTGGTTCCAGAGTCAAATGCACCACCATCTTTAAGCCAAGCTAGTTTTTATGAACGCAAATAAATGATTTGTGCACAGTACCCATGTGTGAATGTTGTTAGGTTGAAATGAGACTGAGCTACCTATCACTCCATGTTTGTTTCCCCCACTCTGTCCTCTTCCATGGTTCCCAAATTTTCTGCACTGAGCAGCTGTTACTCTTGTGATAGCAAAAAGAGCATAAGAACAACACAAGACCCCATCCCAGCCCCTGAGCCTAAAGTACCCACTGTGGGCGGGAACTGAGGAGGGACCCTGGGATCTCCAGTGCCATTCCCATTTGGAGTCATGTGGTAAAGACAAGTCAGGAGTCCTAGAGCTGGCTTCCTGCAGCGGTTTCCCGGGCTCCTCTTCTATGTGGAGTTGTATCCGCAGAGATGCCCTTTGACCAACACAAAGACAGGCTTTTACCTCCTTATGTAGAGCAGTAGAGCAACAATCTTTCCTTTCTTGACATTTTCAGAGCCAAAGGCCCAAGAGGAGAGAGGGAAATCCTCTTTAGTCCTGGGCCCACGCTAGGAGCCTCCTTCTAAGGGTAGGATGCTGAGTTGTCCACCCTCTCACAGCAGGCTGTCCCCACTGAGCTCAGCTTTTCCTGTTATATCTACAACTACAAGATATCTGTTTAAATAAAACAAAAGAGCCCTAACCGATTTGGCTCAGCGGATAGAGCATCGGCCTGCGGACTGAAATGTCCCAGGTTCGATTCCGGTCAAGGGCATGTGCCTGGGTTGCGGGCACTTCCCCAGTGGGGGATGTGCAGGAGGCAGCTGATCGATGTTTCTCTCTCATCGATGTTTCTAACTCTCTATCTCTCTCCCTTCCTCTCTGTAAAAAATCAATAAAATATATTAAAAATAAATAAATAAATAAATAAATAACTAAAACAAAAGATACATGTGAATATGTATATTATTTAGGGGTAGGGCAAAAGCACAAAAGAAAAGATTAATAGATGTGGATACAGACAAAGCTTAATGAAAACACCAAGTCATAAATACAACTAAAAGGCAAAATATTGGAAAATGTACTATAGCTAAAAGATTTTATTCCCTTGATCTGTGAGAGAAAGAAAAACATCTGTTTTATTACCAGTGTTGATTTGGTGTCTCTGTAGTGCCTAGCAGAGAGTGAACACTCAAATATCTGTTAAGTAAATGAATAATATCAGCGATCAGGGAAGTGCAAATTATTTTTTTTAATGGCGGGAGTATTTTTTAAAAATATTTTTTTATTTCTGAGAGGAAGGGAGAGGGAGAGATCAGCTGCCTCATGCACGCCCCCTACTGGGATGGAGCCCGCAACCACAACTGGGACATGTACTCTGGGAATCAAACCGTGACCTCCAGGTTCACAGATTGAAGATCAACCATTGAGCCACACAGACGGGCCATTTTCTATTTCTTGATCCAAATGCTAGTTCCACCGGTGTGTTCTGTTGGCGAAAATTACCTGAGCTCTTCGCTTGAGTTTGCCCCTGTTCGCATTATTTATACTTTAATAAATTGTTCACCAGAAAACAAAAAAACCCAGCAGATCTTTAGAAAAAAATTTAATTGCAAAAATCTGTATAAGTTCTTGGAAGCTGAACCTTTTCTTGGGCCCTTGCACTTCTTATGTTCTAAACCTCCCCTGAATCTGTGTCTTCTTTGAAATGCTTTCTTGCATAATTTACCCAAGTCCCACGCTACCTGAGGCCGCATTCTCGGAGCACCGGATAGTAACTGGTGTCTCCCTGTTTGTCTCCCGATTAGCCCTGAATTCTTGGAGCTCAGAGAGACCAGACTTTACCGATCCCGCTAACCCGGAACAGTAATAAATCCTACCAGACAGGGAGGCTAGGAGCAGGGCCGGAAGAACTAGATTGGAAAGAGGGAAGTGCTGCTCGGGTTCCGCCCAGCGGTGCCAGCCTGCTCAATCCGCCAGACCCGAAACCACGCCCCCTACCAAGCACCGCCCCCAGCTCCCTCCTGACCCCACCCCTCAACCCAGGGCTCCTCGGACCCCGCCCACTAGGCGTGGCCCTCCCGAGGCGTGGCCCTCCCAAGATCCCGCTAACAATGACTCCGCCCCTTCTTCCGCTGAGAAACCTGTCCCTTTTAAAGAATACGTTTACGCCAGCCCGCCTTACGTAGCTTTTGCGTCATCAGTGCAAGGCGAGGAGGCGGGACTTCCTGTCTCTGGTTCTAACAGCTTCCGGGAGAAGCCGGAAGAGACTGGACCCTGGACAGAATCGGGGGTAGCCAGTCCCTTCCCCGGCCCCTACGGAAAGGTGAGTCCATCGGCCGTCCTAGAGAAGTCAAAATACTTGGTCTGGCCGTTTCAGGTGAGGTCCTCTTTCCCTATCCTGGCACAGTACCGGTTCAATCCCTTCTTAATTTCCCATGACTCCCCGCGTACACAGGCCCCGCCCCCAGCCCCCCGGCCCCGCCCCGAAGTTTGAGGGGTGTGGATGGTTTGTGACCCACTCACCCGATTTTACCCCTCACCGGCCAGGAGAAGTGGGCTTGGGCTCGGCGGCTGGGACCAGGCAACCTTTCGGCTCGGGTGGGCCCGCGGAACCCTCTCCAGTCCGCGGGCATAGGACCGCGCAAACGCGGAGCCTTCGCTTCGAGAAAAGGCAGGGGACGCCCCCTCACCGGCCGGCAGGGTCGCTCCCGGCTGAGCAGAGGGCGAAGGCCTCCGAGCGGAGGACCTGGGGTCTGCCCGGCCCCCTGCCCACGAAAGTTTCCTGTGTCAGTGCCTGTCTTTTTCGCCTCTTCGCCAGTTTCCTTTTCTGTAAATTGGGGTTAATGACGTTAACCTTCTCACCATCAGGGGTTAGTTGTGGGAGTGATAAATAATTACCACTATTTATTTACTGACCAGTTGCAATGTGCCTGTGCCAGGCACTCTGCTAAGTATTTTGCTTCGATAATTTCCCGTCATCTTTAAAACAACTTGATGAGAGGTAGGTACTGTTTTTAGCAGGGCAATAATGGGATCAGGTTTGTTGTTTTTTTAAATAATCCTCACCTGAGGATATGCTTTTATTGATTTTTAGAGAGAGAGGAAGGGAAAGAGAAAGAAACATCGAGAGGAACATCGATGGGTTGCCTCCCCTACGCGCCCCAACCAGAGATCGGACCTGCAACCTAGTTATGTGCCCTGACTGGGAATCGAACCTACAACCTTCTGGTGTAAGGGACGGCGCTCCAACCAACTGAGCCACCCAGCCAGGGCAGGTAGGTACTGTTTTTAACCCCATTTTACTTATGAGAAAGTGGAGGTTCTGAGAAAGTTGCCTGAAATTACAGAGCTAGGAAGGGGCAAGACCAGGATTATAATGAGTGGGTTTTTCTCTGACTCCAGGGCTCATGTATAAATAAGAATGTGGACACTGGGCAGACGCTGAGACATTCCACACATATCTTTTGAGCAGCTACTATGACATGCTGGGCACTACGGCACATGGAGAAATCCATGCGGTCCTTGCCTTCCAGGAGTCTAGCAGAGAGAGATGGACAGATAGATGCATATGAGTCTTAGAGTTGCTGTGAGAATAGTCTGGTAATGATAGTCATTAGACTGGATTTGCCCAGGGACAACTGTGAAAGCAGCAGATTGTCCAGGGGAAAGCGTAGGTACTCCAAGGGGCAAACCGTGATCCTTGCCTTTCTAAGAAACTGCTGAGGGAGAACCTACACAATAGGAAGAGAGGTTGAGGTGTGGCTTGAGACAGCTATTTTGGGAACTTTCCAAATCTGTTCTACTCTGGTAGTGGCGTTTTAGTTGTGAGCCTGTAGGGATCCAGTCGGGTGGTATGTCTGAGGTCTGTCCTGCTTTGCTCCCCAGAGCTTGCCAGGAAAGTTTCATAGGAAGCACAGTGCCTGCTGTATAGTGTTTGCTGATAACCTCCCTCTGTAGGGCCTGTGGGGTTTTCTGACTCTTTTGTCCCTTTGGGGAGATCTGACTATGGCTTTTTAAAAAAATATGTTTTTATTGATTTCAGAGGGAGGAAGGGAGAGAGAAACATCAGTGATGAGAGAATCATCGATTGGCTGCCTCCTTCCTACATGCTCCTGGCGATCGAGCCCGCAACCTGGGCATGTGCCCTGACCGTGAGCACCTGATTCATGGATTGACACTCAACCACTGAACCATATCGGTTGGGCTGACTCTGCTTTTGATGATAAATTGATTTTCTTTGGCTCTTGACATCCGGACCTAGATATGTGACCGTAAGATAGGTTCTTTTATTTTCTTTCTTTTTTTGAGATGGGGTTTT